CTCGAAATTTTGGTAGAAAAAGATGCCATTTTGATGTAGTTACGTGGTGTTGAAGAAGATGGAGCTCTGCAGCTCGATTGTGGTTGGGGTGGGCCCGTGCTTACGCGAACAAACTTCTGATAGGTGACTGTAGGTTTAGACAAGGGGTGTACGAGCGGCTTTCTCCGCCAGTCTCCCTCCCCCTGGAGAAAAAAGTAAAACGGGAAAGGGAAAAGATGTGCATGTGTGGTGTGTGGGAGATGTTACGCGAGGTATACACGTGGGTGTTTCCGAGGAGTTGCTTCCGCGGGGAGAAAAGGGGGGATGGTGGTAAGAAGAGGAAGGAGGAAGAGGGGAGAGGGATGCTGGAGTAGGTCAGATGAAGGGGGGAAATAAGGATGTGTTGTTCTTTGTTGAAGAACCGGGAAGCGTGGGCCAGATGGTATTGTTCTGATTAGTATGAATGTATAAATTCAGCTCTACTAGTTCGCCCTGTGTAGTAGACGCGTTACTTGAGAGATTCCGCGGGCCGAGCAACAGAGCTCTTGTTGGAACCCGAGAGCGGTAGGTGCTTTCTTTTTCTTTCTGGAATGTACTTATTTGGGTAGTAAGTAGCTGGGTACCGATGCCTTTTACTTTTTTACTTTCGTCGCAGAAAGCACAGTCATTGCTTTGCTTCTTTGTCAACGCCCACGGAAGCCGGATAGCCACGAGAGAAAAAGAGAGCAAAAACCCAATGGTTTGGATCCGCGCCCGGGGCGGCGGGATAATCATCACAGGCAAAGATTCCTCCAAGGCTCGTGCCGGGCTGACATGCTTCCCGGAAGCACATTACCGTCGTTATTGTCACGGGGGCGGGGGGTCCCGTATCCACTGTTTTGCGGTGCGTGAGTCGGTGGCATTCGCGATTATTGCTTCTCGTGGATTTTCCGAGTCGATTTCCGCCCTGATTAATGAGGCCTCCTAGCTTCTGGGGAAGCTAAGAAGGCCACGCCGAGTTTCACGATGTTTTGGTGGTGGGTGTGAACGCGCACGCGACTGCTACGGATTTGGTTGATAGTAAGTGTGCCGCTTCGGGCCGAGGATATTGTAAAGCGTGGCCATATAGAAAAGGAAAACGGGGTAGGCATACGGCCGAAGCGCCCGGGAGTCCCAGCTTGCGGCTGTGGCTTGTAAATTCGTACGAGCTTCGCAATTGGAGAACAGCATGTTGATAATAATAATAATGATAATGGCGTGAGAACTAATACGACAACGACAACTGGCACAGTGATTGCCATGTTGCATGATGGGGAAAAAGCAAAAAAGTGCATTTCTGGTGTGAGACCTGCTCAATCTAATGCTTCAGGTAAGGTCACAAGCCACACCCTCGAAGGTGTAGCCGAGCAAAGTATGAGTCGTAATTGGCTCGAAGTTTGGGCGCAGGTCCAATGTTTGTTGAGGCCCAAAGTGCGCCGCATGCAAGCGGAATGAGGCGTTCATTTTCCCTGTGGGAATGCCGGCCGTTGGGTGGCGATTGGGACAAGAGCGTCATGCGGTGGTACTTAACGAGAGAAACTATATCCACTCATTGCAGCGATAGGCTGATGCGCTGCTCAGTTAAGGAAAAAAACCTGGTGTTGTGATGGTGACATGCTTGAATGTGGCTTATCCAGGGGTCAGGTGTTGACATGGTGGCATACGTACATATGCAAAAGTCCTTCCGCGGTATGAATGTCATGACGAAGCTGATGAAGATGCATGGTCCGTGATAAGCAGTCCGGTGAGGATGCTCACACCGCCTGCCGCGGAGCCCGCTGTGAGGATGGGTGGTGGACGTCGGTCTCGAGGTGTTTCGGGGTGGATTGGCGAAACATGATGGACTATTGACATTTCAGATGGCGCAGTCGTGCTAATCGGGCTCCCACGTTGCGTCGAGAAACTTAGGCTGTCGGGCACTGTGACATTCACTGGCTTGACGCACTAGGTGTGGCTGACTAGGCTTGGCTGGGTCGAGGTAGCATTTGTCGACTAATCAAAGGACCGAAGGAATTCGGAGGACATGAATCAGGGTAGTGAGTATCATTCTGGGTGGGAACGAGTGGAGACGGGGACATAGTGGGGCGATCTGATGATGTAGTTCAAATCGTGGTGATGCGCGCGTGTGTGTGTGTGTGGGTGGGTGTAAGTAACGCGGGAAGGAGGGCCGGTAATACTTGTCCTCCCCTAGTGCGCGGGTTGCAGTTGCTGTTATTGTTGCTGTTGAACATACCGCCTTATGAGCGGGGCCCATGCCTGTATACCCAGGGGGGCGCAAAAAGGATTGCATCGTGGTTTGGAGGATGCGATGGCTTGCGGACAGATCTAGATGAGATCTGACATGCCCCCACGCTAGTCCAGGTGCCGCCGGGTACGAAGGCCGACACCAGTGTATACCCCAGAACCACAATAAGTGCAACGCCCCAGACGACCCTTGACAGGGTGACACTGGCCCGGAACAATGTTCCGCTGCTCTGGTAGTGGTCGGCCCCAGAAGGATGGGATTCAGTTGCACAACTTCCAAGCATTCTACGTTGCGTCATCCCCTCCGTCGTACTCGATCGCCCGTCACCGCCTAATTGCAGACCTGTTCAACAGAACACAAAGCCAATGGTCCCCAATATTGTGCGGGCCGCACTCGTGTGCTCAAGGTCCGTGTCGCGTGGCCCATTCCTAGGTACCCAGCCGGCAGATGCAGTGCCAGTTGCTGGGTGGTATTGCGAAACACGCGTTCAGGCAGAGTGATTGCCAACCTGGCAACGCCAGTAGTTTTGGGCAAGAAGTGTATAGTGTTCCCAAGAATTTTCATATATGGTATGGTGTAAAGGCTACACATGACAAACACATGTGTAAGCCAGGTACATCCTGAAGGACTATCTAACTAGGTACAATGTCCTGGCATGCAGAAGGGCAACATGGGGCCTATTCATGCTCGCTATAAGGTATACGCAGTACCGAGTCTTTGCCCTTGACGAGCTGAAGAATGAGGTATTATATGCGCTTTGTTGCGCAGTAAAGGTGGTAATGAAACCTGTAGTGCATACTACACTATCGATGATGCATTCGTTCCATGGAGCGTAAGACGCTCGTACGTACATTAGAGGTGTTGAAGAAATCCCGAAAGCGGTAGTTCGGGGTCGATCATGGGTGTTCGGAGCGGTCGCGTGCCAGACGTCTGAGGTGGAGACCATTGCGGTTGGTCTTGACGAGGCGTATCGAGGCAGTTTGTGGGACGTGTGGTCTGGGGCAGGCGCAAGGTGATGGGGGGGCGGAGCCGTATTACTGGTGACAGAGGTCCAGGTGGGAGATGGGAGGGGTCGAGTGAGTGTGTGAGTGAGTGAGTGAGTGAGTTGTCGACGTTGCCCAGGGTGGATGTGAGTTGAGGACACATGTGCTGGTTAAACCCTGTGAGAAGGGCGAGTGCTGAGATGCCCGAGATATATCTTTTGGTCCTCGTCGTCATCCATGAGCAGGTCATCGCCAGGATAATCGTTGACATCGTCCTCGAGCATCTGAAAAGTCTCTGCATAAGCACGCGATGGGACAGACTCGGGCGAGACGAGAAGGGAGGCGACGTCCATCTTGATTGATCTTGGGTACAAGTGTTCGTTGGGGTCTTGGACGAACCAGCCAACGCTCTGGCTATGGTCGGCCAACTTGACTTGAGGCATGTCGAGAGGAGCGAATCTCTCGGCTAGGATCTTGCGCAACACGCGCTCAACCTGCTCGTCTGTAGGGCCATGGGCGAGCTGCTTCTGCTCCAGTCGGAGTATACGCTCGTTCATCTTCCGGAAGCACAGCTCTGTTCTTCGCATGAACTCATGGCTGTGGTAGTTAGTATGATTGTCCAACGGTCGGGGGCACTGCAGATTACACATACTACCATGATGCGATTCGTTCGAAGGACTGGTTGATCATTTGCAACTGGTAGGAGAAAGACATGGTGAGCTATGAGGACGAGGTGAGAGAGAAGGCCAGCTATGTAGCAAGTGAGACGCTTTGAAAGGAATGGATTTACAGCAAGATGGTAATTAGACTTGAAAAGGTAGTGGTGATGGGGTGGAGGGCGCTAGGGGAAGGGGGGGCAATCGGTCAGACAGGTGGGATGTGTGATATATACGACGAGGGTGGGAGACGGGTGTTCCTTGAAAGGCGGCTCGTGTGGCACATAATGAGCCTGGCCTTGGGCATGCAGTAGAGTGGGTAGGGCGCGGCAGGGTCCACTGCTGGCGGGATGGCTTGAGGGTTTGGTTTGGTTGGTCAGGAGGGGGTGGAGGAGTCGGGGCCAATGAGGGACAGGCTTGTGGGCAAGCAGAGGATGACCTGAGGTGAGGGGGGGGGTTGTTTGATGGGTGGATATGCTGAAGGAGTGTAAGTAGGTAGTGCTAGCGGGCGAAAGGTGCCGGCGGAGATCAGTGGGCAGCTGAAGGTGGACCGGCTGTCAGGCGGAAGAGCCGTATACGACGGGCCAGGACAGAGACAGAGCGGTTGTCGCGTGGGATGGGGGTGAATGCAGGGGCGTGGCCAGGGCGGGCAGGGCGTCGACGGGATCGACGATGAGGTATGGACCAGGAGGAGTGGACGGAGGAGGATAGCCACGACGACCGGTATCAGCGACAAAGAGGGACAGCAGCTCGTGGCCACCTCACCGCTGGCAGAGGGCAGTGGACCAATCTGGGTCATGACTTGAAGCCATCTATGGGGCAGGGCTCGCGCTTCCGTGTGCCTTGGCTAGCGACTCCCCGCCGCCGTGGCCGTCGCGGTGACCTGACCACTGCCAGAGCTAAGCGCGCATGAATTCGCCGAATAGCCTCAAGGCGCCCCAGGGAGATGCGAGCAAGGCTGTCTGGCGGCGATTGATTGATGAAAGCAAAGCCCATCCCATCCCATGGCAACGGCGTTTCCCGACCGGGCCTCGTCGAGCATGAGCAATGAGCATGAGCAGGAGACGAGTCGACGCGCTAGGCCCAAAGCGGGTGCAGCAACAGGATGCGTCTCGGCAGCACTTCCTATTGCCCGTTACTCGCCCCCCAACTCATCGGTACACGTCCTGCACGCGAGGCGGCCAGACGGCTTCAAACACCTGTTCTCCGCCCTTGGGTCCCCTACGCCTGCTGCCGCTACTTTCTTGTCCATGCCGAGTCAGCCAACCACGCCTACTGCTACACACTACCACCCGACTATTACATGCTACTGTGCTTGACAAAAAGCTTTTCACAAATGCCCATCCCCAATCCCCATGTCGCCCAGCAAACGCCACACTGCTGTGCCTCGACGTCTACTCTACTTACACTACTAGTCTACTTCTTTCATCGCCACACACACACACACCCATCTCGCTTCTCGTCAATCGACCGTCACCAGATACATTGGACAAATCATCGTCACCAGCCCCTCCTCTCCACCTGCAGTCAGCCGCGCCGGTCGACTGCCGTGCCATGCCATGTCTCGTCTCATACGGGCGTCCGATGGCACCAAATCACCATCCATTTCTCCATCTGGTAATCATTGCCTGTTGCGCCTTCCGGGCGAACAGGATCACGCCCAATCCAGCCTAGCCTGCACACCCACATCCCTAACCCGCGCGACCGACCACACCCCACAGCTCGCAACAACTCCTATCGGCCTCTGGTCCCATCGGTGATCTAAGCACCTGCACTCCCAAAACATTCTAGAAACCACCCTCAGCCCTCGTCTAGCACGGCCTGCTCTTGGTACCCTCCACTCATCCACCCACGATGCTCCTCCTCCTCCTCACATGCTCCTTCGACTAGTACATGTCCGAGCCTCTTTATCCACCGACACTTACTTGCAACACTTCCTGCATGGCTTCATACCGCGACTTTCCGCGGCTTCCGATTCCCCAGTACCACCAAAAACCGGTCCCATCTTTTGCTCTCCCCCCCCCTCTCGCTCTCTCGACAGCCTCCTTTCTCGCCCAGCATCCACGTACGCCAACCACCATTGCCAGCACCTCGCCGTAGCCGCCCACCAACAGCACGCACTTTCGCATGCATACGTGACCCCTGCTGACATAATGCACAGCATTGCGTGGCGCAGCTGGACTTGTCTCAATACCATGCTCCGACATGACGCAATATCCAAGCCAGCTTATCGACCCGTTTGCTTACAAAACTAGGTCTGTGTCCTCTCTCAACTGGTATATTGATGCTGCAAGTCATGCACCCTGACTCCCACAATGGCCCAAATCCCAGTCTGTGCACTTTCATGGCGTACCCCGGTATAGGCTAATGCAGTTGCCCGAAGTTAGACTTCTCACTTTGCAATTTAATTTACCTCTGTATGCTGTCGCATCTTCAGCTGCCTTCCCGTCGATATGTCTACAGCGTATTGAATGGGGCAAAGGTTACCAAGGGTCGCAAAAGCTATACTTTATTGCTACCAAAGGGACCTCCCCAGATCTTCAGCTTGTCGAGTGCCCCATGTTTCCTTGGTGGATTAACAGCTTGAGGCGTCATCCTCTGTGCACATGGTCAGGCAGCACCTGGGATTACTACCACAAGTCGGATGACCACTTCGCTTCCCCGACCGGAATCCAATATATTTTGATTTCGCATCTTGCCATTTCACGCCGAGAAAAATTCCCCAAGGCCTCGTATTCCTCACGAGCCCTTTGCAAATCCTGGTTAGGCTTGATACGGTTTACCTCGGTTTATTGCCTGGTGTCGTGCAGGAGAGATCCGGGGAAGCGTCTGTTGCCAACGACTGCGCCACTATCAATGCCCAAACTGCCGCGACAAACACGCCTGGCCACCACCATGCTATTCCCGAAAGAACGTCGGGAGTATGATCCCGCACTACTTCCTCCTCCTGCACGGACGTGGTGAAGTTTCCATCAAAGTCCCTGCACCTTAACCGGCGGCCGATACAGGGATGCTGAATCCTGCCCATGCCCTGTCTCTAATATGTACAAAGTCCATGTTTGCCTATCAAAATTGATCCCCGAAGGATCAACACCATGGGCCTGATTTCATTACTGACTCGTACGTCTCAGCTGATAGGGTAAAGTACAGACCTGCCACTTTAACAACTTGGGTTACCTGAACGTCGCTTTTGCAGCCTAGTGTCTGAGTGAGTAAGAGAACAAAAAACATACGATAGTACCTAAACTTTAACATCGGTGAAATCAAGAGCGGGTTCTCTTACCTTGTCTAAAAATATAACTCAAGTGCCGAGTATTTATCAGTACATGTGCTTGCACAACCACTTATACTCCTTACATATTACATGATCTTGGGCACAGATGTTTCCAACGTCTCCATCCAACCCCCCAATTATGCACCTTTTCTCCTGTGGGAAAAGAGAACTCGGCGCACATACTGCAAGCCCCAAGGCCCGGGCTCATGCTGACTACCGACTTGCGTCTGACTTGCAGCTCCCATCACTAGACGCATCGCGAGCTGACCGAGAAAGACAAGAAAAAAAAATCGCTCATAGCCCTTCTCTGAAACACGGTGTGAGCAAAAGCACAGATTACAGACAGAACTCTTTTGTCACAGAAAGCGAAAAAGGCTTTTCGGCCGTAGCAGTTGTTCATCGGTGTGTATGTGTGTTTCCCCTTCTCAAAACCATGGATATTAAACTACATACTACTATCAAAAAACCACCGCTTATCTTCTCCCCAACCCCTTGGCTTTCTTACTCCAACAACTCTATCGCATCAAGAATGACATTAGGAGCCAAGAAGCCCGTCCCAGACTCACCGCTCACACAGGCGATGCGAATAGTATTTGCGCCCTCGACGAGGGTACCGGCAGGGATAGCGTAATTGTAGACCTCGCCGAACCCACGGTAGGCGCCTCGCGTGAAGCCGCGCGAGGCAATCTTTGTCGGGGCAGCGGGCACGGGGGCACTGAAACTAGTGTTTACCGTGACGGCGGGACGGCAGCCCGCAAACGCGAGGGTAGTGCCTACGCGCAGGGTGAGTGGCGTGCTGTTTTTCTGCTTCGCGGTGAAGGCAATGGTGAGGGGGTTGAGGTCTTTGACGAGGGCCATGGGCACGCTGTCGAGCGCGCTCGTGCCGACGGTGTACGTGAGGGGCCCCCAGGACGCCATGCGCGAATCAGACGGGTGCATACGGAGTTGCTTGTCTGCGTTGCGGAAGCCTTTGGGTTGGCCGTCCCACTCACCGATGCGCCACAGCGAGGTTTTGGGCTCCGTGTCGGCGGCGATGTTGGCTGTTGTCGTGCGCCCTGCTGCTACGGTTACGCTCGTGGCTTTTACTTTGAATTCGCCTTGGTACAGGACCTGCGTGTATGTCCCCGGTTTCATGGCGGGCGAAGTGAAAGTTCCAGACGAGGAAGAGGCGTACGCCCAGTATTGTGCTGCATCGTTGTACCAGTGGAGCACTGCTTGCGCGCTTGAACTCACGCCTGTTGCTTTTCCTGTCACAGTGCCTCGGGCTGAAGGGGGGACATAGTTTGGTATCGAGAGATCCTTAAAGAATGTCGTGTCCATGCTTGACCCGCCCTTGGGGATGCTCGACCGGCTGAAGGAAAGCGCATACGGACCCTTCATCCCCATGCGATACTTTTCCAACTGAACATGATTGCTGTTCATGTAGAACGTCAGAGAATTCGACGCACCGCCGTTGTTAGTATTGATATCGCGATGGAACGGTCCACCAGCTGATGTCTCATACGAGTACGAATCCATCAGCAAACAAGCGTGAATCGCATTTGTATCGCGGTACACACAGTGCTGGAATCCTGTCAGTCCACCTTCATTCCCCCCCCCCCCCCAAACCAAAAACAGAGTTTTTTTTTTAAAGAAAGTAAAATAAACTTACCACAGCATCATCAATAAATCTCTCACTCGAATAAAACTTACTCCTCGTCTCTCCCCCAACAACAAAAACATCAGACCCCTCGACCGTCGCCGTCGAATTCGCCGTCGTAGACACAACTCCAAACGGATAACTCAGCGGCAACTTTCCACTATCGATCCTCGCTATAAACCTCAACTCGCCAATCGTCGGTTCCTCGGTGATATCCGTAGCCATGTAGATGGTCGATTCGCCGGCTTTGACAACCATGTACTGCGTGAGCGTAGGCGTCGTACAGGTGATCTTGATGTACTGGGTGCCAATGGTGGTGTAGGTGACAGTGGCGGAGCCGAGGCCCATTTCAATGTGTGAGCCTTTGTCGGGCCATTGGAGTTCTTCGCCCGCGTACTTGAGGGATGTGATGTCGCAGTTTAGGGTGTTGACTGTGAAGAGGAAAGGGGAGGAGGAGGAAGGGGCGCCCGAGTCGATGGTGATGCTGTTTTTTCCTTTGGTGACGCCGAAGGCGGCGAGGGTTGTGGTGGTGCTGGCGAGGGTGAGGAGGGCGGTGCGGAGGTACATTGTTTGGTTGTGTGGTAGAACCTCCCGGGGGTTCTAGCGACGAAGGAGAGAAAAAAAATGAATGGATGGATGGAAAGAGTGTGGGAAGAAAAAGAAAGTGTAGAATAGAATATGGACAATGTTTGAAATGAAAGGTTATGGATACAAGACCACTCGACCTGTACTTTACAGATCCCCGATCAAAACAAGAGCAAGGTTGTATGCAATGTACCGAACAAAACAATTTGCAGGGCAACCCTTCCCCCCCATATACAAATGTTTTCCCTGTGCCCCCGCACGTGCACGAAACAAATCCTCCACACAGGCACTAGCCTTTCCGTCGTTCAATCTCCCCTCAATTTCCTATCTCAGCAGATATATACCATGACTTGGGAGGGTGGGAGGGAAGACCCCTACCTTCGGTGCTTACGACCAGGGGTGGAACGTGCCAGCCAACCGAGATGAACGACTTTTCGAAATCTCTCTCTTACACAGGCACGTTCCGAAATCTCACCATTTTGTCCGCGTCAACAACACGCTACTAGAGAGGGTTTGACTGGCGCCCTGCGTTTCAGTTTAGGGGTGCGCCTGGTGCTAGAATATGGGGAGACCGCTTCACGCAGGACGTTGAATTGATGGGTTGCAATGTCATATTTTCTTTTGCTCGTGCCAAATAGCCGGAACTTTGTGATGCTCACTCCCCCCCCCCCTAGATAACAAAACATGTCATATCGATCTTGATGCGCAATAAGCAATGGCGAAGCTTTCGCCTTGCTGCGATTAAGCTTTTCCTTTCAACCAGAAACGGACACAGGCCAAGGACTTTGGGGCCACCGGTTTGGTATAAATGAACGGGCTGATTGGCTTATTATCTGGATATTAGTGGTGGAATATCTGCCTGCGAACAAGGAAGGCAAGTAATAAAGCAGTTAGGGCTGTGAAGATTTTGATTGCTTTGGGGTTAACCGCTGTTCTTTAGCCGCGGCCTTTTATTTCATCAGCATGCGAATAACGACATTTCTCCGCGATGGCTGTCTGTCTGCCGTTAGTTAGTCCGTTTCAGGGTAAGATTGCAAGGGAATTTGGGATAGACAATGTCATGTCACTGTCCTCGTGAAACAACGAATACTTTATTCTTAGCAAAGCAAGAAACGTGGTAGAAAATTGATAGCGCATCGCGTGCAAAAGAGCGCTGCTGCCGTTTAATCCTCGCCTGCAGGACAATCATTCTTGTACAACGGACTGAGCGACACCTGTCGAGACCACAGCGCCCATGGTCTTGCAATTGTCCCGGACATGGCTTCCCAGGCGTCATGACACTCTCTGTCACTCAAGTATTTCAAGTTGCCGCCTTCGGCCTTTGCATGGCCAGACTTGATTTTTCCACCAGCGTCAACATCAACCTTGCCCTCGAGCGCGTATCCAGTGTGCGCATTCTGTATCGTCATGGCCGCCGTTTGCGCCTTTGCAGCCTCCCTTGTGTATATGGCCTGGTATACAGCCTCCTCGATCCCATGCGCGACAGTCACGAATCCATGGCTTTGCATAAGAACGACCGCATGATCCGGTTCCAGTTGAGGCTCCGAAGACGCACCGCCTAGCTGCGATGGTAGCGCCGAACGAACCTTGGAATAGATGAAGCCGGTTGAAGTAGCAGGTTTGAATGCCGCAGCAAGAGAAGCACCCAGCGTAGTGTTGCTCACAAGCAGACTATGTTTTGAGCCCGACGGATAGCTACTCGAGGCGTCCCACACAGGAACCTTTGATCCTGTTTGTTACCAGAATCAGCATTCTGACAGTCCATGAGTCTTTCTCTTAAAGAAGGAGCAAAGTTTACCCAAGAAACCAGCCATGTGAATCGTATTCTTCAATGGTACCCCGCTGATGCAATAAGGAAGCACATCGCCCGCGTGGCTATGGACTACACTGTTGATGGCTGGGAATCGCTTGTAAATCTCACTATGAATGTATCGCTCCAGATACCCGGGCTTTGCATCTTTCTCGACCGCTTCAGCGCTGTCAACGTGGTACTCGACTAGATCTTCTGGCGTGCTAATCAGCGCCGGTGGCATGTTGCATGGCATCCAGAATGTCGCTGGGTTATCCGGAGAGCGCACAGAAATGTGCCCGTATGCATCGACAAGGCCATGGTGGTCGAGGATGTGGCTTGCTGTGACTAGCCCTCTGAAGAGATCTTCAAGGCCAACCTTTTCGCGTTTTGGGTAGTATCCAGCTGACATTTTCGGCGAGTTGCAGGTGGAGTCGTCGACATGATGAGCAGCGGGGGTCATGGCATGTCTTTGGTTTTGCAATGCCTGTTTGCGATGCCCGATGACGTATGTTCCCCACGTCCTAGGGTGGTGAGGGAAACGACTGGATGGGATGTAATCGGGCGGGGGTGGAAGCTTGCTGGACCCTGAGCAACGACATACGATCACATCCTTGACTTGGCAATTTACTCACCTGCAGGAACGCCCAAACTGCAATGCCCAAGTAACAGGTCCTGTCGGCTTTCGTCATTATTGCGTCTGCCGAGAACGAGCAGCATCTTCCTTTCCCATCTACAGATAATGCTACATGTAGCCCGTGCATGGAATAGTCCAACTGCACCATACGCATGGCTGGGGGTAGGGCTGCAATTAAAGTTACTTTTCTGGGAACGAACAGCAGGCATCTTCTAGTTCTAGTTACGTTGAACAAATTGCTTTCTGTGACTGAGTCAGAACCATTCTACTAGACCTCGTTGCCCCTTTCAGACAGGCTCCTCAGACTTACAGTGTCTTGTCTTGAGCAGTTTATTCGGATACCATGTCCTTTTCGAACAGTTGCGTCAATGGCAAACAATCAATAGAACACCTGTTAATGTCTCTCGGACTCACGGTCAGTATGAGCAAATTGGCATGGCATATCAAGCCCAAGAGTTACTACCACTGTCGAGGGAAGTAGCCCCCAGTAATGGCAGTTCAGATGATCTTCATATTAGACAACTGGTCTCTTATAAGAAGATAGCAGCACAGATATATAGTGTAAGCACATGCCCTATTCAAGCTCAAGGCAAGCTCAGCAACAAAAGAGATGATACCGAAGGCGCTTGGTAAGCAGTGTTCAGATGTATGATAACTTCCAGAGCGCAAAAGTTGGATGCGCAATTGTGGAGACTATCCATTGACACCTGGGTATCATATCGAGCCTAAGTGTGCAATTGTCAGGATATTGTTCAAGAGTGGAAAGGAAGTGGAGACAGTCAGATTCGTTTCGTTGTTGGCGTACAAACCCATGAAGGACTCTTTGTTTTGTTTTCTTGCGTGTGTCATACTAGTGAGCAGAGAGTTTTCCTGCTAGTACCTTGTGAAGTAGCAAAACTACTGTACATTAACATCACGTTCATCCATACAAGTTGTTACCGTCGACACCTATGCGTCCTGCCCAGTCTTCCCCAACATACTATCATCTTACCACTGATGTTTCTTTAGACCGTCGAGTAGAGCTCATCAAGGTTCAGTCTCGTACGGGAGCTGTAGGGGGGGTATCAAACAAACAGATGACCTGAAGCGGGCGCTTGAGGGCTTGCGTCGAATGGATGATTGCGTAGTATCGTTTTCATGGTCGGCGACAGACCGTGATGCCTAGTGGTATTGAAGCGTACAGTCCGGCTGTAGCTCGACCACTGTTGGCGCAGTTGTAGTTCTGCCGGTCTCGGCTGCAAGCAGCAACTTCCGGGAGGAACCGTCAGCCGCATGATCCACTGGCAGCCACCACCTTGCGCAGATTATTTTCTTTTTCCCGTAGGCGACCTGGCTCCTGGTTCCTGGTGCGTGGGAATGGTCTTGGCGGTCTGCACGACTCCAATCTCTAGCCTTTAGCTCCCACCATCTTTCCAACATGCGCCGTCTTCCACCCTCTTGACATCTCCAGGTGCCCGGCAAGACTGCTCTTGGACGCTCTCATCTTTCTTCTGCAGCACCATCATCATCAGCCCATGTCTACGTCAACATCACCCTCGCCCTCGCCGTCGTTGGCGGCATCTATGAATTCGCTCTCTCCACTCTCTCCACTCGTCTCTTCGCTATCGCTGTCCTCATCAACGATCTTGCCCTCGACTTCACATTTCCTTGCAAAGCAGCACCCTTCCTTCTCATTCTTTGCACCAATACCTATGCCGACGTACATTCCCTGTTTGACTTCTTCGATGATCTTGTCAATGTCGACGGTGCATCCACTGTCGTTGTCGTAGATTATCTTCTTAGCGCGGCTGTTGGCTGCCGACTTGGTCGAGTGCACGGAGATGATGTGCGTGCTGCCAATGTTTGCCTCGAGACTTTGGGCAGTCGGGTAGCAAGTGTCGGTAACAATGTAGATGATGTGGGGGCCAGATGGCGAGTTTGTCATTCTGGTGGGCGCCCTGGTGGACAGCGGGGGCGGTATCTCGATGCTTTGTTGAATGTACGAGTCGCCAATGTTGTGGGTATGGGGCGTGGGCGTTGGACCGTCTTTGGCGTCGATGCAGTGTGGACAGTAGTGGCTGCTGGCCTCGGACGCTGTGCTGGACGTCTGGCGTGCGTTGGGCGCCATGGCTGCTGCTGACTGATAGCGGTAGGGTGGGGGTGGACAGTGGGATGACCAGGTCGAGGATGGGAGTAAAGTAAATGGGGACTGGAGCAAAGCAAATAAAAAATGAGGATCAAAAGAAGGTTGCTAGGATAATAAGAAAAGATATGTGCAAGAGAAGCCCCTGCTCGAGTGCAGCCGCTGGAGGGCAGCAAAAGCGAGGGTGCCGGTGTGTCGGTTGGGCAATTGCAAAATTCACGATGCTGTGCACATGGGATTTTGCACAAACCGGGGAGGGGTTTTAGAAATCGTCGATGCGCGGCTAGACCGCATTGTTTAATTTATAGTCTGGCGCAGTTTCCTGCGTGTGGCTTTGAGCTCGACTCCGCGGAGGATTGGCAGTTGATGGAGGAAAAAAAAGAGTAGGACGATGGTGAAGGAAGCAGAGAGAAGGGGAGAGCAGAGGCTGGACGATTGTGCATTTCTAAGCTCACCTGTTCTGCCCTCGTCGTGGTGGTGGTGCGACTCTCCGTGTGGCTATTCTCGCGAGGATCCTCAGCTCGACGACTGCGCGCATGTCTTTTGTCGCCACCGAGCGACCCAAGTCCATCAATCGTATCCGAAGCATGGCCATTGGGTGGAACGTTCGAGATTTTTCTTTTCTTCTCCAGTCTCTTTTGGCAATCTTTTCTTTCGCGCCGATTACACGGCCAGGTTTGCGCGGCCCGGGCGCGTGGGAGGTGGTGCTGAGCATTGCGTGTGCAATGGCAGGCGGTGGCGGCGGTGCTACTCCCTGCTCCCCCGACCGACTCCGCCGTTGCCACCAAGGGAGTGGAAAGAGAGAGGTGCGGAATGCAGGGGAGTGGAGTGGACAAGGCATGGCATGGAGCAGGACGTAAAGAACAAAACTCGTGAACGGCCTTTTTCCTTGTTTTGCACCGTCTGCACAGCAGCGATCGACTAGGATCTAGATTGGAGATCGCCTCCTGCCCTTCCGATCCCCCCGCCGTCCTCGTCCCTCCGCTCGACCCGTTGCCCTGAGCCCGACTGTTCTGGCCCATCAAAGAGCCCCGTGGTGTGGTTCTAACCACGGCGGACGACACAAGCCTCATCCACGCACTGCTTGGCCCGGGTCTGATTGGTGCGGGGCGTGTGGCGTCGACGAAGAGGTGAAGCCGTGTGCTGGTGGCGTATCTCGTGTCTGCCAGGCCAGAGACGCAATCGGACCCTGCATCGTTGCCCAACGCCCATGTCCCAGTGCACACAGCATATCATTGCGGCCCGGCTGCTGTGGATACGTACGTGGCGCCAACTTGGCCATGCGACTGACAGAAAATGCTCCGTCAAGTCAATCCGGCTGTTCCTTCCGATGCATGTCTGTCCATGGCCGCCGTCCTGGTCCGCAAACCTAATAGCCATCCTCATCTTGTACGCTTATCAACAGTCATGTGGACACTCCGCCCCTACCTACTTACCTGCGCCACACTTTTAGCATCCATCATCACAGCACCCCTTCTCCCGGCCAACATGCACCTTGTCAAAAACACATTATAGATAATCATACAGATGAAACCTACTCCACTCTGCCGTTATACTTATGCCCCCGTGTGCCATACAGACCCTAGTGCCGCCCGCCCCACACACTGCTAATACATGTCCCTCCCTATAGTAAAAGAAAAAAAAAGAAAGAGGGAGGTACAACTGACTGCCATACAGGCGCCATGCCAACAAGAATAAACCTTCTTACTCCGCGTCTTGCGTCGCTGTCTTGGCCTCACTGGCAGGCTGGGCCTCCTCTTGACGTTCCAAAATGCTCTTCTCTTTTTCTTGGTCCTCAGCCACCTCCACAGTCGGCGGTACCTCACTAGCCTCAACTGCCGCACCTTGCTCCCGCGTTTCTGGATTTTGGCCCTCGACATCAGGGTGAGGAGGCGCAACACCATGTTCCTCGGCCTCATCGTGCGACTCGACTAGCTCATCAAAAACCTCGTTGCCTTCGTCATCAACAAGGCGCGTCCGCGTCTCATAGCGCGTCTTGAAGCTAACCTTGCCCTTGAGCGCTTCAACCTCTGCATCGTTAAGGACCCGGCCCTTTTCGTCGCGATACTCGACACGCTCTTCCTTCGCAATAACAGGCATGTCCTGACGAACTTCCTGGGGTGCGGCCGAAACAGCCGCTTCATCGACGACGCCTTCCTGCTTTACCAACTCCGGCTGCTGTTTTGGCTGTTCAGGCTGGACATTGAGCACAGGGGGTGCAGCCGGCGCTGATGATGGCACAGATGCTGATGATGCCAGAGGTTCACTCTGGCTGTATGCTTCATACTGTAAATTGTCAGATTGAACTCATCATACCATGTCCAATTAGCTTACCGAAGTGAGGAAGTTGTTGCACTCCCAGTCCCAGCTGTTGAAAAGCTTGACACTGTTGCATGCATCCTTAGTCCATGGGTTGCCGTATGCAAGCGGCGAGAAAACCGTGAAGACCATAATGGCAACCGCCAGGAAACCGACAGCTACTGCTTGGCCAATAGCAGGATATTCCCTGAGTCCAAACACGCTGAACCGGTAGCTTACAAAATCAAAGATCTGGCAAAGCGCAAGAATGGCAAAGTATAGAGCCGGAAGGTAGTGATGCAAGAACAATTGACGCGCCATTAGGTAGAAAGGGAAGTAGTGGAACGCCCATCCTAGGATGCTCATGCCAACTTCATAGTCGAAACGCTTGAATACGACATTGTTGTAGTCACGGTAGCCACGCTGCCATCGGAGAATGGCAATGCCCTTGATAGCAACGTAGAGAGCGATCAGCGCTGTGGAGCTCCACCAGATGACAGGATTTCCGATCAGGTAGATTTGGCGGTGGTGTTTGCCCCAGAAGTTGATACCTCGGCGGAGGATAGGCCATGAGGGAGGACGAGAATCCCAGGCGTGCGACTCTGTCAGACCGGCGTTCGTCTTCCACATGACCTTCTGCAACTCCCAGAACTTCCCAAAGAAGCCAGGGTTGCGGTAGTTGACCTTCTCCACTTCCCCATCCACCATTAGTGGATGCACGTTGCCCTCAATGTACCATATGCTGTTGGGCAGGGTGCCTTGCTTGGCACACGTAACCTCTTGTTGCTCGAAGCCCCACTCGGGAAGTTTCACCTTGTGAGAAAATAGTGCGCAGCCAGTCATCACATGGATCAACCTGAACTTGGACTGGATGGTACGAAGGCGCTTCTTAGCCTCAGCTCCATCCGACTTGCTCGGAATAATCTCAACGCGGAAGAGGTCGTTGGCGTCGCCCTCAAAACCCTGATAGCCATACGCCGAGACTTCATTCTGCCAGTCTGCTTCGGTAACAGGTGGGCGAACATCGTGAGAGTGGAGACGTCGGTCGGTAGTGATGTGGTAGAGACGAATGATGGCGCCGTTTTCAATATGAAAGGGGCCTACGCCGTCCCAGGCTTTCGGGCTAGTCAAGTTAGGACCAGTGTAGTCTTCGGGCATAATTGGCAGGGTTTGGTTCTCCAAGATCCAGATGTTGTTCTCATCCTTGTGAGGATATAGAGTGATCTGCTGTTGCTTGCTTCCGGTAGGGTACATGTGGCTGTGAGAATGAAGATATCCGCCCTGCGTGTTCCAATGGCGCAGTGAGACGCGGCTTCCGTACGCAACATCTGCCGGTACATCTTGCATGCCCTTGGAGTTTAAAGTTGCCTGGAACTCAGAAGACATGAACCCATCACCCTCGCCAGGATTAACAAGGCAGAGGAAGTGGATTCCAAACATAGCCATGTAGAAGGAGACGGGAATGATAACCAAGCAAAAGAGGCGTGCAAAGAAGTGCTTGAACCACAGCCTCGGTGTTACGTTCTTGTGGTCTCCAAGCAGAACCCATAGTTGTACAAGTGTCAGACTGCCGACCCAAGCGATGGTGAACAGGCCGACCCACTTGACACTGACAGTCGCACCAAGTCCTAGACCAGTAGCAGCCAACCAGAACCACCACAATGGCTTGAAGGCCTTGGGGGGTCCCTGTTCGTGTTGGTTCATGAAGCAGGTCCATGCGAGCGCGGTAAGGGCGGTGAAGATGATGAGCGGAGAGTCGAGTAAGATGAGGCGAGACTGGGTGACGAGAGCGTTATCTTGAAAAGGTCAGTATCAGGTGCAACAGCGGCTACAATTAGCGTCTTACCGAAAATGACAAGACCTGCACCCAACGCTGCTGTGGTGGTGCGACATCCAGCAGCCTTTAGGGTCAGGAACATGGTCGGAATGGTCAAGACACCGCAGATGGCGGGCAACAGGCGCATAGTGACATAGGGAACATTTGGCTCAAGGTAGTCCTTGCCAATGTCCTTGAAGTCAAAGTTTCCGTCAAATCCGCCCAACCATCCAGCAAGTGTAATGAGGAGCTTCGCAAGCGGCGGGTGGACATCCATGAAGAACCTGCCCTTGATGTATTTCGAGGCGAATCCACCGAAGCTACAATGACCCTGTCAGTCCGCATTCACAAAAGCCATATCAACAAGAATGACTTACTGGACCTCGTCAAAGACAACACTGGTCGGCTGCTGGATCCTGAAGAGCCTTACAGCAGTTGCAATGGCGACCAGTACGGCTAGCAACGACCAGTCAGAGCCCGGGAGGCTGAAGATGTCATTGTCCTTGACACCCTCGGAGGCGTAACTTCGAACTTTCTGCTGCGACTGCTGCTTTCTGCCGTTCCGCGATCGTGATCGTGACTTTGATCTATTGGAACGGCGCGATGAGGGCTTCTCGCCTAGGTAGGCATTGGATGCCGAGAGGCTCGCCATGGCGGCGGCGTACTGAGTAGATGTTGCGTGGCCCGACTAAGGTGGGAGGTAATGATGAGGGTCGGGGGAACCTTGCAGCGCTTCTGCTGTAGCGTAGGCAATGGGCACTCGGGCCTCTTAGTCGGAAAAGGAAGAATTAATGAAAGTGAGAAGGAGGTCCCATCAATGTGAAGAGTGAAGGGTGGGGGCCGCAATTGTAGTTGCGGCGATACGAGCCAGGGGGAAAGAGGGTTCCCGCGAGGAGTAGTGCTGCGTACCAATTGACCCTTGTTGCAAGCTGTTCCTTACTACGCGGCCTTGCCGAACTGGGAAACGAAGTGCTGAATATAGATCAGGGTACTTGGTCGACTGGTATTCACCATGTCATCTAGTAGATTCGAGAGAACAAGTCGTCCTAAAATTAGACCCTCGACTCGGTCCTGCACCGAGAGTTTTGACAGCCGTCGATAAGCCGAGACGCGTCTACTTAGCATTTCACCGACTGCCTCAGCCTTGCCAGTGTCGATGTGGCTGGAGTGTGGCTAAAGTGAGGCTAAGATCCGGATTGGAACAACTAAATGATCCGGCCAGGAGCCTACCATGCATGCCATCCTGGAACTTTGCGACGCTGCCGCATCGCGAACCTGCACCACTGCTACTCGACCCCCCGCAGTATCCATACGCGTCGCGTGCAAATAGTGGCACGTGAGTAATCGCGATTTGTTCTTTTGCTGGCGCCGATCTACGTACAACGCGATTCGCCATTATTCTACCACGACCTCTCTCTTGCGACTTATCAACATCGCTCGCAGCCAAGTTCCCGACCAACACATACCGTCATGGCCAACCCCAACGGTGATGCCGCTCCAGCCGGCGTCATCGAGCTCGACGTGAAGCCCCCCTCGAACATGGTCATTCCCCCGCCCGGCGTACGCGAGGCCGTGGCAAAGACTGCTGATTTCATTTCCCGTCGAGGCGAACAACACCTTGTAGGAATGAAGCAGCGTCTCACCGCCGACCCCTCCACGAAGACCAATTTTGGCTTCGTCTTGGAAGACGATCCGTACAACGCATATTTCTTGTGGTATTTGCAGCAACTGAGGGAGGGTCATGGGCGCTCCTCGGACAAAAACTCCAAGCAAGCCGTGGATAACAAGCCCAAGGGCCCCCCCGAACCGCCCAAGTTCCGCTTTTCGGCCCGCATGCCTAACATCAACGCCAAAGATCTGGAAGTGCTAAAACTTACTGCTCTGTACACGGCGCGCGTTGGTGAGAATTGGCTAAAGGATCTGCGCAACCGTGAGTTGGGCAACTATCAGTTTGACTTTCTCAGAGCCAATCACAGCTATTTCCAGTTTTTCCGATCGCTCGTCGAACAATACAAGATCCTGCTTGAAGAAGAGGCGACGGTCGAGGCACGTATCCAGGAACTTCAGCACAACATCAAAAACCGGTTTCACGTGTTGGACCGCGCAAAGGGTCGCGCTGAGTATGTCAAATATGTGAATGCGCAAAAGGAGAAAGAAGAGAAGAAGGTAGAAGCCGAGAAGCAGGAGTATGCGACCATTGACTGGCATGACTTCAGCGTCATTGCGACAGTCATTTTTGATGAGGCTGATGATGCTGCGGATCTCCCTCCACCTGCTCAGCTGAATGATCTACAGTCCCAGTCTCTTGAACAAAAGGCCGCCGTTTCATTATCTACACGTCGTCTGGAGGAGGCCATGCCCGACGATGTCACATACTATAATGTCACTCAGCAGCAGGTACCACCGTCTCCAATGCAACCAAATTACGCCCCAACTGCACCACCCGTGCATTCGCCGTACGGTGCATCGCCATATGCGCCTCCTCCTATGCCCGATTACCGAACACCAGCGCAGATATCACGCGAAGAGGAGCAGGCACGATTGGCCAAGGAACGCCAGGCAGAAAGCGAGCAGCGCGCACGCGCACAGGCTGCTGCCAGAGGAGCGCCTGGTCGCATCGTCACAGACTACGTCCCCCGCGTTGCCACAAAGAAGGCAAACGTACCAATGGCCGTGTGCCCTAACTGCAAGCAGCAAATTCCTTCCAACGAGATGGATGAGCATATTCGAAGTAAGCAGATTTCTGAACGTTTTACATACTTAGGAATACCATATGCTAACGCTCTGTCGCAGTTGAATTGCTCGATCCGCGCTGGAAAGAACAACGTGATAAAGCTGAAGCTCGATACTCGACGACGATCAACACCGCCGACGTTGCAAACAATCTCAAGCGTTTCGCTAGTCAGCGTGAAGACATATACGACGGTGCCACTGGCCAATCAATATCCGCCGAAGAAGAGGCTCGGAGGAAGAAGGCTGCAATGTCATATGATGGACAGCCAGATCCTGCAAAGGATGCTGCCCGCTTATCGCAGATGCAGAGCATGAACGTCCAAGAGCAGCTTCGAAGGATACAGGAAAAGCATCGCCAGTAGAGTGCATGTGTTTGTAGGTCTTTCTTTTCCTTTCCCGGATACCACTGTCATTCTATAAATCGATTCATTTGCATTGAGTGGCGTTTGGGAAGTACGGGCAGATGGACCCGCCCTGATTGGGTTTGAAGAGAGATTAAAATGGACTTTTGTGTAAAACAAGACTGGGTCGGTGGCCTGGTCACCGATATTGTAGCTGCGAGTCTCTAATGAATACGTATGATCTCAAATACAATCACCGAAAATATTGATTTTCTTACATGTAATTGCGTAGAGAAATCGGTCGAGTACAAGCGCGAGCGGGCTGTGGCCGAGCTGCGATTCGGCTCGGACTTGCGAAGCTTTCCTCCGACCTGCGTCAAAACCTATGACCTAACCAGCGACTTTTATCGTAGGCGCAACACTTCACACCTGTGTACTGCCCTCCACACACAAGAAACCATGTCATTAGCGCAAGCAACCAAAGGCGATGTTGCCTACCAAGTGCGCTCTCTGGTACGTATTCGCGCCACTGTAATTCTTCAAAACATCCCCGCGTTACTGGAGCCACTGTGTGGTATTGCTGCCTTGCTTCTGTTCCTTTGACAGTGATCCTTGGGACGTCGATACGATTCATTGCTCGAGTGCGACAAATGGCTGCCTTGCGGTATGAAGATTACCTGCTGACTTGCTACGTGAATAGTATCGGTCGTTGTTACGCCAGAGCAACCAATTCGCTGCCTATAACTTCCGCGAATACGCCAAACGGAGAACACGCGATGCCTTTCGGGATAACAAAGATGTGAAAGATGAGCGGGTCATACAAGAAATGGTACAAAAGGGCTTGAGTGAGCTACAAATGTTGAAGGTGAGTACACAATATGGAAGTTCAGCAATATGTGGGGTATGGGCAGACATGACAGTATTCCTAAGTAAAAGAGACGGCACACAAAACAATACGCAAGGCGACAAGTGGCACTGGAAGTGATGGGCTTCAGCGCGTAGACGATGATCGTAACAGAGGGCAATACAGAGTGGAACCTAAGCTGACACAAATCAATAGAGGCAAACAGTCATAAGCCAATTCTACCAAATTGATCGCCTAGTCGTTGAGGGTGGCAAGGAGGGCAAGCAAAAGGGAGATCGCAGCGATATCGTCAGAGTAAAAGACCAAGGGTGGGATTAAACATAGTAGGGAAAAAACGGGATGTTGACGATGAAAAGAGATGATATTGTAACAACATTGCCCACATTGCACCGAAGGAAAGGCGATTGTGTGGCACAATGTTTGATTGAAAACGATCTGCAAAGACGAATGTATGTACTGTATTATATGGGGTTTGCCATTCGAGTCCCCAAATGGAGTGATGGAATGACACCAAACCAACCTGTAAATTTTAGCACCAATATTCTCAGCATGACGGATCACGTTTGCAAGCTCTTTTCCGCTCTGGACATTGGCCTTACTTGCCCACCTATCGCAGCTGCATACAGTTGCTGTGTTGCTTCAGGAGGAGGTTCGACGTAGATTTGCCGAGACTACCTTTTGGAGAAATACATATTGAGTCACAAGGCTCATTTCTGTATATCTCATTGTATAAGCTACATTTCTTATAACAACAGGAACTGATGTATGATACGCTTCACTCCCCAACAGCCAATGGTTGCAAGCCAACCAGGTTTGGTATAGTGGCGCACGGTTGCACCTTCCAGGTCGCAAACCGACGCGCCTCCCCTTCACGCATCGCGACTTCCCGCCGCATTGCGCCAACATCAATCCAACCTTCACCGCCTGTTTCTCGAGGCAGTCGCATATCACTATGGCTCCGGTACGTCATTTCCTTGCGTTGTTGATAGAGATGCGCCTGCCCTCTGTTTTCGCGAGCCCGCATCCTTGCCACATTTGAACGCGTGCACAAGGCGCTCTTCTTGCGGCGCGCATCGCATACACCATCATCATGCCTTCATTTCTAAACAAACACCATTTATTACGAGGCTTGGGCCGAAAAAGGAAGTCCGCGCTTCAACCTAGGCATTTGTCAACGGATGATGACGAATGGACTCCAAATGCAGGGTCGTCTACTGTACTGGCAAATGATTGACGCACCCACTCATAATACCAGACACGCTCCTTTCCACTATGCAATGCAACACATATGATGATTTCACCGGGTCCCAATGCTAACATCACGTGACTAGTTCCGGAACAGAGACCGCTCCAACAGGTCGGGGCGTGGGCAGATAGAGCATAATGTGCTGGAAGGACTGCCCATTACCCAATATCGAGAAGCTGAAATTACTATTGAACCACATTCTGCCGAGAACAAGCCCTTGGACAAAGATGCTTGGCCTGAATTACCAATGCCTCGGGATTCCCATATGCTCCCGGAACATTCTCAACAGCTCCTTCGAGCTGCTCGGTCTGGAAAGCTTTACAAACCCCCAGCGCCACCAGAAGAAGACAATGAGATGAAAGATGAGGAAGAAGAGACCAAAGAGATTCATACTGGATTCACTGTCAAGAAATACGTCAAGATAGCACGCCATTTAGAAGGTCCAGAGCCAGAATATCTTGCCAAGAGAAGGAAGGGTCTCCCATCGCCATATGTTAGCACCCAAGTCGCACAGCCTGTGCTACGTGAGACAAAGGTGAAGAAGCTCGATGCAGAAGGCAATGTAGCTGTCTACAAGGTCCTTGTTCCAGAAGGGCAGTCAGTGGAGGGTGAAGTGCAACCTACAGACGCTGCTATCGAAGTCGCGCCAGCTACTGCTGCACCAGGAACGATCGTCGAGGGTATTGGTGTAGTGAATGCCGAAGGAATTGTTGTAGCCAACGACGTTGTGCAACAAACACCTCCCAGGAGACGGCCACCCCCTCCCAAGAAAGTCAAGCGTGGCGGTCCGGGTAGAGGCAAGAAGAAGGTTGTTTTTGCCGAAGGTGCGGCAGAGCAAGGGACCCCAGCATCGACTGCTGGTGGTGATTCACTCGAAGTACCCGGTGTAAAACGAGAAGAGGGATCTGTAGCACCTTCAGATGGTGGAGACACGCCAATGGCTGATGCCGGAGGCCAAGACGAGGAGGGCTCTGGCGAAGAAGGCTCTGAAGATGAGGATCATGACATGGAACATACCTCAACGCCCGCAACTCCCCTGCGATCATCGGCCGCACCACCCAGTACATCTGCGATGGATATCTCAGATACCCCGGAAGCAGCTCCAAGTGAACCTGTCGTGGAATCTTCTATAATCGTTCCAACAGAGCCTTCGGCAGAGACTTCTGTAATACCTCTTATCGAGGCTGATGCGGGGACTCCCATGGAGGTAACGCCCTCGTTACCGACTGCTATTGAGCCATCACAAAGTGCCGGAGAGACCGAGACAGCAACTGTGAAAACTTCGACACCCGAGATCATCCAACAGGTTTCAGGACGTGACAAGTCTAGCTCGCCAGACATGCCGTTATCTGCCATATCTCATAGCCGTCAAAACTCGCTCAATCATGTGTCAACTCCCGTGACCACCACCAAGATTGCTGTTCCCGAAGATACTCCGAATGAAGCCCCAGCTCCTCCAATAGAAGCGGATGCCGCACCGGCGCCGACGGTCACGGCTGAACCTGAACCTGAACCTGAACCTGCCCATGAGCCTGTACCCGCGCTTGCCCCTGAGTCTATACCAGAGCCTGTATCGGAGTCTGCACCAGAAGCTGTACCGGAGCCAGTACAAGAACCCGCAGCGAAGATTGAGAACTTACCAGAGCCGCAGCCGAAGTCGGAACTAGAGCCAGAGCCAGAACCAGAACCAAAACCAGAACCAGAACCTGCGCCCGAGTCAATACAATCCCTACCTGATGCTCCTTCTCCACAGCCTTCCGAACCAGATCTCATGGGAAGTCTTGAAGAACAGCTTAAAAAAGACAACGACGATATGAACAAGTCACAAAGCGGTGAGACCTGAAATTCTTGTCTCTAGCATTGCTCGCGTTCGGCTCAGCACACATCAATGAGCTTGGCTGTGAATTGAAGACATCGGATTTTGACGGTGTCATGAGTTGCCGCATTAGGTACATAATAAGGATACTCTCAGCGGCAGGTTTCGCATATACCTGAGTCTTTCTAGATGGACTAATCAGGCGACTGGAGATTGTACCTTTTGCTTAATCTTTTCCCACCACATGGCGTTTTGCACGTTGGATATGGAGAGTCTTTTCAGGTATTATTGGTCTGGTTCAATTGAAGTTTTGTGCACTGTTGTATTAGTACGAACGAATGATAAAGAAATTCATCATGCTATTTGATGTACCTTGATCCATTGCTGTATATCACTGCGGTTGTTGTCACCACTATTGAGCCTTTGGAGTTATCTACTTCTGTTAGAGATGTGCATATCTGATAAGAAGGCTGTCTCCTGTCACCTTATTACGTCATTTCCAGCGTTACCCGACGGGAACCCCTCACATCACGCTCGTTAATTCCGCCATCTTACCATTTACTAACGCAATAAAGGCAGGTCCATTACCGAACCATCTACCGTTTCGTATAATATATATCTGTCCACGAACGTGCAGAACACATAGGTACGATTTTTCCTACGAATAATCCGTATTCATACCAACAACCATGCCTTCAATAACTGAGACTGTAAAAGCACATCAACCAGATCTAGGTCCATACGAAGAACTCTGTAAGTGCCGTCTCTTCCGCCCAATAGAGGTAATCACTAATATCGTATTAGACAAATGGTTTCACACTCATCCAGAGCTTTCATTTCAAGAAAAGAACACTGCAGAAGCCATTGTTAAGCACCTCGAGACTTTCAAAGTGTTCACAATCCATTCTTCCATCGGCGGTCATGGAATCGCTGCCAGTTTCTCAAATGGTCCAGGGAAAACTATCCTTTTGCGTGCTGACACCGATGCCCTGCCCGTTGAAGAGCAGACGGGACTGCAGTACGCTAGCACAGCGCGCATGAAAGATCTTGATGGTATTGAGAAGCCTGTCATGCATGCCTGTGGGCATGACATGCACGTTACTTCGTTACTCGCAGCTGCAGAGTGCTTGGTCAGATGCAAGGATGAGTGGAGTGGTGAGTTGATATTAGTGTTCCAGCCCGCCGAAGAGAGAGCAGGTGGGGCCCAGAATATGGTGTAAGTGCAGAGGGACCCCAACAGAACTTCACAAGAATACTGATGAAGTCCAGTGATGACGGTCTATACAAAAAGGTCAAAGAACCTGACGTCGTAGTCGGAGCACACGTCATGCCTGAAAGAGCTGGAGTAATTGGCACGAAACGCGGTCTCATCGCCAGCTCAGCAGACAGATTCCAGTGCGTGAATAATTCTTATTGCCTTTTCCAAGCTGACAATGCCATAGACTCCGCATCCCAGGTCGTCAAGCCCACGCCTCAACCCCCCATCGCAGTATCGACCCCATCGTACAAGCAGCTTCCACGATCATGCGTCTCCAGTCCATTGTGTCGCGCGAGGTTGACCCCCTAGACTTCGCCGTTGTAACCGTCTCGGCTTTTCATGCCGGCGACGCCGAAAACATCATTCCCTCCGAGGCCAACCTGAAAATCGACGTGCGTGCAGGTCTGCCCCAAACTCGCGAGCGCGTTCTAGCAAGCGTAAAACGCATAATAGCTGCTGAAGCAGCTGCTTCCAACAATCCCTCTGAGCCCACACTAACGGCGACAACACAATTCCCCCTATTGTTCAACGATGACGGTGTCACCGATGCGCTAGAGCAGTCTTTTTCCGAGCACTTCAAGCCTGGTAAAATGAGTTATCAGAACGACATTGCGAGGCTCCAGGGAAGTGAAGACTTTGGTATTCTGGCCACGGCAATTGGAAAACCGAGCTGCTTTTTCCTGTATGGAGGAATAGATCCCAAGGTATGGGACAAGGCGGAGGCTGAGGACAGGATGAGTGAGGATATCCCTGGAAACCATAGTCCGTTTTTTGCGCCGGTTGTTCAGCCTACTCTTACTGTTGCTATGGAGGGGTATGTTGTTGCGGCGTTGACCTTTTTGAAAAAGGGGCAGTAGTTGAGCAGCTTTGAGAACATCAATGATTTCATGAGTGGTGACGGTTATTTATTCATTGGATAATCCTTTAGTAAATCATGTGAAAGAGTATGTGGTTGTCAAAGATCTCGAATGAGCCACCGCAAATGAAAGCATTTCGGT